AGCACATCACATCAGTGTTCAGTTAATTATCAAAGGTACGATGGATGTTGCAATGGAAAATGATGATGACATTATACACATACACGGTACTAAAACAGCGAATAGCGTAGTGCCAACAAACCATGAACAAAGGATTTACATTAAGACCAGGTTTTCCAGAAGTGAAAGTGTCTTCTATTTGATTTACCACACTCGCTATTTAAAGGGATAATTTAGTGAAGTATTTTTTTTATAACCTTGTGACAAAATTCTTCTCGATTATATAGTTTGATACATGTTATGAACAATTCATGCCGATAAATTGACAAGAGACGATGTTTTCTTGGCATTTTTAATCTGTAAGGTAGAAATCCTTCAATTTCTCAATTTCTTTATTTCCAAATGCAACATATAGCATATAGGAGTTACAATATACATGTACATACAAGTAAATATTACAATCCATTTATGTAAGATAGCGGAGAACATAGAGTAAGATATAAGATGACATCATAGCAATGTTGACAACATACAAAAGAAAATATGTAATCATTGTCAGTGGCACAAAGCTGGAACATACACGATTGCTCAGATATTAAGTATAGTCTTTCTTTAAGAAGTAGCCTGAATTAGATACTTACTAAGGTTTCTCAATTGTTTTACATTTTTGCAGGCGAATAATTGTATTAATTTATAGACGGACGGACGACGGAAATAATAGTGTATAATATATTTGGTTATAAGCTCCGAGTTAACTGGACACAACAAAATAAAATGGGTTTCACCCTCGACGTCATTTCTATTGCAAAGCGGACACCGCCGTTGAGCTCTAGGTATACCATTATACCTGCCTGTTTCTATACTTAGTGTATGAGACTGTAACCTATACTTACTGAGGATATGTTTACACTTAAAAGTTAGTGACTTGGTGAGGTAGAACTGTATGTCGTAATGATCTACGATATATTTATACAACCTACATTTGGAGGAGTTTTCTAACATGCTTCTCACTTCTTTGATAAAAGTATCTTGTACACGTTGGGTGTATAAAATACGAAATGTTTTTCAGTAGAAACACACTGAGCCAACCAATCATCATGAAAGTCAATTCTACTTAATTCATGCTTGACTTGATATACAAAATTAGTTTTACAATTTGTTTTTTTTAAGGTTTAATTCGACAAGCTCATCGTAACAAGATCTCAAAATACAATTGTCAGTTTTCAATAATTTTAATAAGTACTTTACAATGGATATTTTACGCTTTATCTGTAAAGGAAATCGACCTAACTCAAAGTAAACCATAACATTATTTACAGACTTTTTTTACTGTAAGAACTTCTCTCAGGAAATGCAAATGAACTTTTTCAATTTGTGTTGCAGGACAAAATCCCCAGACTTCACAAGCATAGTTAAGTAAACAAGTGATATAAGTGTCGAATAATGACAACTTAGTTTCACAGTTTAACATAAAATTCCTAAAATTCATTTTCAATAAAAAAAACACGCTTTTCTACCCTTGGCAGCAATGTTATTCAATGCTAAAGTAAATCTGCCATTATAATTGAATACTAGCCACAGATAACAAAATATGTCTACTATTTCAATAGGCCTACCATTGTATGTCCATTTCTCATTAGGGAAAACACGTTTTTTTCTGAATATTACTTCTTTTGTTTTACCACATTTAGCTTTAAATTCCAGCGTTCAGCATAGGAATGCAAGTGGTCAAGCCCATTTTGCAGATCGACTACATCCTCGGAAAACAAAACCGTGTCGTCCGCATACAGAATAAAAAAAAATATTGATCAACTGTAACTGATAACTGACAATTTGAGTTAATAAGTTCTGACTCCATGTCATTAATAAATAATGAAAATAAAATCGGGGATAAAGATTCCCCTTGTAATAAACCGATCTGGAGGTCGTACGTGGGAGACAATTTACCATTTAATTTGACGCAAGATTAGACATAATCATAAATAGATCTTATTTAACAGTCGACCCCTAACCCCTGACTTCCATAACTTAGACCATAATTTGTCATGTGATATGCTATCGAAAGCCTTTTGATAACCAACAAAACAGTAGAGTCGTTTATTATTACTCTGTAAAGTTTTGGTAATTAAAGCATTTAGTACAGACATTGCATCCCGTGTACCACTTCCGGGTCGAAAACCAAATTGAGCGTCAGAAATTATATTTTAATTTTCACTCTATGACAGTAAACGTTTATTAAGAAGGGACGTGAATAGCTTAGCTAAATGACTAATTATGGTTATACCTCTATAGTTGTTAACGTTTATTACGGAGAAATCTTTAACTGTACAGCCGTACGTTTTAGCGGCAGCTGTCGGTGTCTTTGCAGTCGAGGAGAGAAGGTAACTTTTGCTTTATTCACCTAGCCTTTCTGGAATACAAGTACATACATATTTTTCTGAATCAAAGTCATCTTCCAACAGCATCTTAAACATCGTAATAAAATACGTTTAAGCCTATTGATATCGCGCTCGCTGCGGTTTTAAATTCTCCCTGTGGAACTATTTCAGTGCTTGAATGCTTTGATTGAACCTGGTCGTTTTCATTCAAATCCAAATGTGGTCAGAAATGTCTGATCAGATGTATAAATTATGATACTTATAATTCTTACTTGCGATGTATTGTGTAAATTCAGGAATGTATAATGTGTGAACTCAGACTCATAACTGACACTATGTTAGTGCTGTACATGTTTACTTCTCACTGAAAGGCCCGGATATTTCGTTTTCTCGGTCGTAGCTATTTTTATCACTTCAGGTTTTGTCATTATCAACTACGTAACGTTCGTTAAGAGATATACATTTTCAATATCGACTCGATTTCCTGGTTGTCGTTTGACGATATAGTCCCTTTACTTCTAGCTCAGATGCATGCTATGTCATATCGTCATAGTAAGCGAGTAACAACAAAACAACAAGGCACAATAATAAATATATTATCATATATTTACCGTACATTTCTGTGTTATCTTCGCAAGGATTGCTAAACCGAGCAAGCGTGTTCCGCAGTAAAAAAATATAAACCTGACTGCTTATAAACCAATACTACATAATGTTAATAAACAATTCAAGAGCATCTGCCGGCATACTGTACATAATATAACTTGCACGCACGATGATGAAATCTAACTTTACTAAATTGCCTAATTATCGGCCCTCTTTGTTACAACCACCGCCACTAGCAATATATTAACCCACTTCACTACACACAAGTAACTCCCCTCAAATCCACAAATTCCAACACTACCTTCCAAAGATAACTCTCTCGTCCGTAAATACCCAATACATAAACATAATAAATGAGTGTATACATTAAAATCTGATTATGTAAATGAACCCTTTATGAGGATGCCTTAACCAACCTCTAACATCCGCTTCTTTACAATTAGCTAGAAGCACATAGCAAAACGCAATCCAAGTGTCGTCTATCGAATCTTATTACCCTTTACAATTGATTTGGGGATATTACTGTGGTCCATTCATTCACTTCTACTAATTTTATTTGGAGGTGTTTTGAGTGCGAGAGAACCGTTGCGGTGTATTAAGTTTTAAGAATCGTGACCGTGTATTTTTCGGAAAAGATTTTCCGAGTTTTTGTTGTTTGAACTACAAATATGGGTAATTTAAATGTTCAGAATATTTGTGGCTCTTGTGAAATTCTGTTGCTATAATTTGGATTAACAATAAAAACACGTAGAAAATCACATTAATGTAATTTGAGTTGACAAGTCATGATGCATTTACCAACAAGTTTAATAGAAATCATGTATAATCGTTAGTGATTTACCTCTGTAGGAGACGAAAAGAGAGCAGGCAGGCGATGATCAATGACCCGCCGAGGAGGATTAGGCATAAATAATCAACTATAGATTAACTTTATTAGTTTACTATATTTTAAGCTTAGAAATGGCTTCGTATGTACAACCGGCAGTAGACCTCGGTTTGAGAAAGACAGTTTGTAAGTCATGTTGATAAAAGCGTTACAGCATGAACACTTCACCATGGACCCTGTACGTAATACCAATGTATTGATAGGTAGTCGTTTATGGCTAGTGTTTGTTGGTAAATCTTAACGATCAAGCTGTTGAATGATTCATTATTGGTGGTTGTTTTTTTTTGCTGACTAATCAGTGATGGTAAGTATTTAGTAGTAATTGTGTTGCGATAAAAAAAGTCGGTGACTTATTATAATGAAAGTTCGTTTTGATAAGTATTTGGAGATAAGTCCTTGATGGTAAGTCTGTGATGGTAAGTGTTTGACGGTGAATCTTTGATGGTAAATCTTTGATGGTAACTGTTTGACGATAAATCTTTCATGGTGAGTATTTGACGATAAACCTTTGATGGTAAGTATTTGACGGTAAATCTTTGATGGTAAGTATTTGGCGGTAAATATTTGATGGTAAGTGTTTGACAGTAAATTTTGCATGGTAAATATTTGACAGTAAATCTTGCATGGCAAGTATTTGACGGTAAATATTTGATGGTAAGTATTTGACAGTAAATCTTGCATGGTAAGTATTTGACAGTAACTCTTGCATGGCAAGTATTTGACGTTAAATATTTGATGGTAAGGATTTGACGGTAAATATTTGATGGTAAGTGTTTGACAGTAAATCTTGCATGGTAAGTATTTGACAGTAAATCTTGCATGGTAAGTATTTAACGGTAAATCTTAATTGGTAAGTATTTGACGGTAAATCTTTGATGGCAAGTATTTGACGGTAAATTTTGCATGGTAAATATTTGACAGTAAATCTTGCATGGCAAGTATTTGACGGTAAATATTTGATGGTAAGTATTTGACAGTAAATCTTGCATGGTAAGTATTTAAGGTAAATCTTAATTGGTAAGTATTTGACGGTAAATGGTTGATGGTAAGTATTTGACGGTAAATGGATGATGGTAAGTATTTGACGGTAAATGGTTGATGGTAAGTATTTGACGGTAAATGGTTGATGGGAAGTATTTGGTAGTAAATCGTCGATGTTGAGTGGTTGATGGATATTTGTGTTTTAATGTTTTATGTTTAGGGTCTGGTAATTAAAGTATTATCGCATTTATTTGTTTCCCAATATTCAATATCGAAAGTCAACTCTGATAGCAAATGGTATGAAAAGAACGATAGTTATTTTGAGATGTTGGTAATACGTCATTCCAGTCCCGGGAGTACATTATACTTGAAGCACAAACTACGTAGGTATACACTTTGGGCGACAGTGTAGTCCGCTCGCTGTCCTTGATACGTCCACCAGACTCTCATGTGTTTAAACACCGTAAGTACACACTCTTAGCGAGGTCTCCAACATTGTATTATGTAGCGTTAAATTCAAGTTCATTTTTTCTCATTTCATCACAGAAGAGTGCCCACCCGAAGTATCCACACCTGTTTTTTTACACCTGGCGCGACACCTGAGTACCACACTTCATCCCGACAGGTAGGGTTTACATGTACCACAGTGCAGTTGTGTATTCACTCATTGAATAATAGTGTAACATTTACTTCGCCTCGAAACGTCTGAAGATATTTCCTATGGTACTTTAAATAAACAAAGCGTGGAACTATTCTGATTGAATCGCCACCGAGATATCAAGTTTGCGGTATGATTTTGTTCATGCAGAGAAAGGAAGCAAAAGAATCGCGTAATTCTTTTTCTTTACTAACATTGTCTCATAAGATGTTCTTATACACTTTGATATACTATTATAATGGTTACCATGTAAACTTTGATATACTATTATAATGGTTACCATGTACACTTTGATATACTATTATAATGGTTACCATGTACACTTTGATATATTATTATAATGGTTGTCATGGTGGCGTGTCCGTGATATATCATGGTTGAATATTCAGCGAAACCATAACGACTATGTTCTCATCTGCTAATTTTTATGTGATTGATTGAAATATGAAATACTTATCATAACTGTCCTGATAAATCCTACTCCTTAAAAGTAACTGCATGTGTATTTATTGGCATATATTTAATGACACCAACTCACCGACTTAAAACTCCCATGTCGACACGCAACATGTTCTTCCTTGTTTGTGTATACGTATATATTTATGTATAAAAGGTATTTGGTCGTTTAATTAAAAACGTCCGGTGTATATTATTATGGTATAAACATAATAGAAGCCATTCACTAGTATTCGTTCATGTAAACATCAAATTGGAATCCCGCAAAGGTACTCACCTCGCTGGAAGGTTAGCAGGTATATCATAACCTAACAAGGGCTCTTTATCGTTTGTTTGTCACTCACAAAACCGTTAGGTACACACAGACAGGTCCCTTAAACGAATTAAATCTCAATATATCTGTGGATAGCGAGTACACAAAGCAGAGTAAGGGAATTTTTAAGAAAAATTAACTTCCAATGAAGCAGAGTTACATGTATCCTAACTAATTATAAAGTCGTGGTTTTCTATTGACCTTATCCGAAATTTAAATACTTAGGCGCCAGAATCTCCTGCTGTCAATATTTGTAGAGCTTTTGACTTCCACTAGGCATCCGAACGTGAAGTAAATTTAAGTTTGTCTCACGTCTACTTGTAACTCAAGTACTCAAATCCGAAACCATAAATGACAACCACTCTCACGTGTTTGATCAGTAATGGAAACTGATGCCTTCATTTTAGCTTCTCTTACATGACATTCTATGTTACTAAGTAGTATTACTATATCAGTTTCTATTATTTCACATTCCCTGTCACTAAGTATCATAACCATATCTATTTCTGTTATTTCACATTCCCTGTTACAAAGTAGTATTACTATATAAGTTTCTATTATTTCACATTCCCTGTCACTAAGTATCATAACCATATCAGTTTCTGTTATTTCACATTCCCTGTTTCTAAGTATCATAACCATATCAGTTTCTGAAATTTCACATTCCCTGTTATTAAGTTTCATNACTAAATCAGTTTCTGTTATTTCACATTCACTGTTACTAGGTTTCATAACCATATAAGTTTCTGTTATTTCACATTCCCTGTTACTAAGTATCATAACTATATCTGTTATTTCAATTTCCCTGTTACTAGGTATCATAACCATATCAGTTTCTATTATTTCACATTCCTTGTTTCTAAGTATCATAACCATATTAGTTTCTGAAATTTCACATTCCTTGTTATTAAGTTTCATTACTAAATCAGTTTCTGTTATTTCACATTCACTGTTACTAGGTTTCATAACCATATACGTTTCTGTTATTTCACATTCCCTGTCACTAAGAATCATAACCATATCAGTTTCTATTATTTCACATTCATTGTTTCTAAGTATCATAACCATATTAGTTTCTGAAATTTCACATTCCCTGTTTTTAAGTTTCATTACTAAATCAGCTTCTGTTATTTCACATTCACTGTTGCTAGGTTTCATAACCATATAAGTCTCTGTTATTTCACATTCCCTGTTTCTAAGTATCGTAACCATATCAGTTTCTGAAATTTCACATTCCCTGTTATTAAGTTTCATTACTAAATCAGTTTCTGTTATTTCACATTCAATGTTACTAGGTTTCATAACCATATAAGTTTCTGTTATTTCACATTCCCTGTTTCTAAGTATCATAACCATATCAGTTTCTGAAATTTCACGTTCCCTGTTATTAAGTTTCATTACTAAATCAGTTTCTGTTATTTCACATTCACTGTTACTAAGTATCATAACCATATCAGTTTCTGTTGTTTCACTTTCCCTGTTACTAAGTATCATAACCATATCTGTTTCTGTTATTTCACATTCCCTGTTACTAGGTTTCATAACCATATACGTTTCTGTTATTTCACATTCCCTGTTACTAGGTTGCATAACCATATAAGTTTCTGTTATTTCACATTCCCTGTTACTAAGTATCATAACCATATAAGTTTCTGTATTTCACATTCCATGTTACTAGGTATCATAACTATATCTGTTTCTGTTATGTCACATTCCCTGTTACTACGTATCATACCTATATCAGTTTCTGTTATTTCACATTCCCTGTTACTAGGTTTCATAACCATATACGTTTCTGTTATTTCACTTTCCCTGTTACTAGGTATCATAACCATATCTGTTTCTGTTATTTCACATAATTTCACATTCCCTGTTATTAAGTTTCATTACTAAATAAGTTTCTGTTATTTCACATTCAATGTTACTAGGTTTCATAACCATATACGTTTCTGTTATTTCACTTTCCCTGTTACTAAGAATCATAACCATATCAGTTTCTGTTATTTCAAGTAAACTGTTACTAGGTATCATAACCATATCAGTTTCTGTTATGCCACATTCCCTGTTACTAAGTATCATAATCATATCAGTTTCTGTTATGTCACATTCCCTGTTACTAAGTATCATAACCATATCTGTTTCTGTTATTTCACATAATTTCACATTCCCTGTTATTAAGTTTCATTACTAAATCAGTTTCTGTTATTTCACATTCAATGTTACTAGGTTTCATAACCATATAAGTTTCTGTTATTTCACTTTCCCTGTTACTAGGTATAATAACCATATCAGTTTCTGTTATTTCACTTTCCCTGTTACTAAGAATCATAACCATATCAGTTTCTGTTATTTCACATTCCCTGTTTCTAAGTATCGTAACCATATCAGTTTCTGAAATTTCACATTCCCTGTTATTAAGTTTCATTACTAAATAAGTTTCTGTTATTTCACATTCAATGTTACTAGGTTTCATAACCATATACGTTTCTGTTATTTCACTTTCCCTGTTACTAAGTATCATAACCATATAAGTTTCTGTATTTCACATTCCATGTTACTAGGTATCATAACTATATCTGTTTCTGTTATTTCACATTCCCTGTTACTAGGTTTCATAACCATATACGTTTCTGTTATTTCACTTTCCCTGTTACTAAGAATCATAACCATATCAGTTTCTGTTATGTCACATTCTCTGTTACTAAGTATCATAACCATATCAGTTTCTGAAATTTCACGTTCCCTGTTATTAAGTTTCATTACTAAATAAGTTTCTGTTATTTCACATTCAATGTTACTAGGTTTCATAACCATATACGTTTCTGTTATTTCACATTCCCTGTTACTAGGTTTCATAACCATATACGTTTCTGTTATTTCACTTTCCCTGTTACTAGGTATCATAACCATATCTGTTTCTGTTATTTCACATAATTTCACATTCCCTGTTATTAAGTTTCATTACTAAATAAGTTTCTGTTATTTCACATTCAATGTTACTAGGTTTCATAACCATATACGTTTCTGTTATTTCACTTTCCCTGTTACTAAGTATCATAACCATATCAGTTTCTGTTGTTTCACTTTCCCTGTTACTAAGTATCATAACCATATAAGTTTCTGTATTTCACATTCCATGTTACTAGGTATCATAACTATATCTGTTTCTGTTATTTCACATTCCCTGTTACTAGGTTGCATAACCATATAAGTTTCTGTTATTTCACATTCCATGTTACTAGATATCATAACCATATCAGTTTCTGTTATTTCACATTCCATGTTATTTAGTATCATAACTATATCTGTTTCTGTTATTTCACATTCCCTGTTACTAAGTATCATAACCATATAAGTTTCTGTATTTCACATTCCATGTTACTAGGTATCATAACTATATCTGTTTCTGTTATGTCACATTCCCTGTTACTACGTATCATACCTATATCAGTTTCTGTTATTTCACATTCCATGTTACTAGGTATCATAACTATATCTGTTTCTGTTATGTCACATTCCCTGTTACTACGTATCATACCTATATCAGTTTCTGTTATTTCACATTCCCCGTTACTAAGTATCATAACCATATCAGTTTCTGAAATTTCACGTTCCCTGTTATTAAGTTTCATTACTAAATCAGTTTCTGTTATTTCACATTCAATGTTACTAGGTTTCATAACCATATACGTTTCTGTTATTTCACTTTCCCTGTTACTAGGTATAATAACCATATCAGTTTCTGTTATTTCACTTTCCCTGTTACTAAGTATCATAACCATATAAGTTTCTGTATTTCACATTCCATGTTACTAGGTATCATAACTATATCTGTTTCTGTTATGTCACATTCCCTGTTACTAAGTATCATAATCATATCAGTTTCTGTTATGTCACATTCCCTGTTACTAAGTATCATATCCATATCAGTTTCTGTTATGTCACATTCCCTGTTACTACGTATCATACCTATATCAGTTTCTGTTATTTCACATTCCCTGTTACTAGGTTGCATAACCATATAAGTTTCTGTTATTTCACTTTCCCTGTTACTAGGTATAATAACCATATCAGTTTCTGTTATGTCACATTCCCTGTTACTAAGTATCATATCCATATCAGTTTCTGTTATGTCACATTCCCTGTTACTACGTATCATACCTATATCAGTTTCTGTTATTTCACATTCCCCGTTACT